TATGACAATGCAATGTGAAAAATGAAAACGTAATAAATGATTACTTTGCTCAGTTAGCCTTCAAATTAGGTACACACCCATCTTATGTTTTCTTACAAGAAAAGGTAAGATGCGGAGTTTTCAATTGAGAAATGGCTTTGAGTTCTGGACTATTTCAGAAACAACTCATGCGACGGTGTTCCCTAGCAAAGGTCCAATTTGTGCTACAGAAGAGACTCGTATGCTAATAAACTGGTATTGACAAGTGTGATGGATGCAGCTTGGTACTTACTGAGTGCTGGAGAGCAAAGTTGATTGCATTTTACAGTCTGTGTATTTCTCTGTTTATTGCTTGTATTCTGTCATTAAGCAAACAGGTTCTTAATATAGCAAATCTCTCTCATCAGTAAAGCAAGGGAGAAAAGAACCAGAAGCATCATTAATTATGACCATTTGGCTGCAGCCTGGACAATCTGTTGCTATTGGATAGAGCAACTTCCTCTGGTTTTATTTTCTGGAGGTAGAGCAGAAACTGGCTTTTCTTTTACATGGAGGAGAGTAGAGAAATGTTCCATGCCCTGCTGGCTGACAGCTGCCTAGAAACCCGAGATGAAACACTGGCTTCTCTACAGAAATGGAGTCCTGGGGCGGCAAAGGCCAGGCTCCGGGTGGGAGCACTATTAAGTCATCAGTCCCATAAACAACAAGCATGCAGCTCCAAAGCCTGACCTGACCTGAGGCTCGGGGAGAGCCCACTGTGGGCAGAGCTCATGTGTGCATGCGGTGCCGGTTGAGTGGGATTGACCGAGAGCTATGAACTATGTGTGTGCCTGGGCGTCCTGTACAGGAGAGCCTTGGGCACCAGGCAGGCTTTCCAAATGCCAGTCACAGGGCTAGGAAGCAGGAGAGTCATCAGTCTGACTCCAGGTAACAGAGGTTAACAGCATCTAATGCATTTATTAACCCTCTAGTGCCAGGGACTGGCGAGGTCTGGCCTCGCAATTATAGTGCCGTGGAAATTCTATTACGTGACGAGCCTGGACCTGGGAATTACTGCCAGTGACAGTTTTATAATACTGCTGGGGGACAAGGCTTTTGAAGAGTCTAAAGAGCAGGTTCCCTGGTTTTCCAGAATGGTAACAAAGCTACTGGTTTGGGGACGGGCTTCTCCAGTATCCTTTTCACCTTCTCAGGATGAAAACCTTGTGGGACTGGGTTTTCGTGGTGGTGTTTCTTGACTCTGACTTGGGTAGCTTCCCCTATAACCACGTAACTATGAATTAGCTGTTATGAAATCCTCTTTCATAGAAGAGATTAAATAGTTTATTTTCCGGCATGTTGCAACAACGGTGAAAGTGGACTCTTAGAAAAAGTGAAATCCATTCTCTTCTCTTCTTCTTTATCCCTCCCTTTTTTATGGGATATCATATTTAAAGCTGCAAGCTGTAAGGATTGGTGTCTAGGTAGGTCTGGGCTGGCCACACCCTATGTTGGGCCCCTGCCTATTCTGTTAATGAGCAGGGCTGGAGGGCTTGCCAACAGAACTTGTTCCATTATTACACGCTTGGTTTTACTGGTTTGGGACTCAGTGATACGAGGTGCTTTTCCAGGTTCTAACTTATACCTTGCAAGATCCCAGAAGTTGTTTGTTTGTTTGTTTTTAATTTTCCTGGGACCATCCCAATTTTCATCAACTGAGACAATGCTTACAATATGTAAATGCTCTTTGCAGGAGATGAAGTGGGGGATGCCCTGTAATTTTATATGCTTGCATTTATCATACCTGACTAGCAAGACAGTGATAGCTTGATGGTGTTTTCACAAACGCTCAGGATAAAAGCCTTTAAAATGTGGAACCAGCAGGTCGCTCAGGCTTCTGAAAGTGGGCTCTGGATCGGCATAGCTAGATTTCTGACCCTCAATGGTCACTGGAGGGGTTCACACTGCATACAGGACTTACAGACACGCTACCAGCTAGACCCACACAGGCCTGGATTCCCAGGCTCTGCCCCTCTGTCTGCAGCTTACCAACTTTAGAGGCACCAGACAACCAGCTGGTGCCTTTCAGTCCAAACAGCAGACCTCCTGGCCCTCGTCTCGTAATATGCACCCCGGGGGTTGGTGTGGGATTTTAAAAGATCTCCTATCTATGTGCAGTCCTTCGATTCTTTTACCCACGTGCTGCCTGCCCTTCCAACAACTGCTAACACCTGCTCGTTGCTTTCTGTTCACACTCACAGACCTTACTGTGGTTCATGCGAGGTTCACATGGAACTCGGGGCTGCTCCGCTCCGTCTCTGCAGTCCAGGGGCTTCCCCAGCCCCCCAGACCTCTGAGTGGGAGGCTCGGTGGAAAGTTAATACACCACGTGAGCAGAGAATCTCAGGGCCTGGGTGCGTGCACTGCTAAGCCTCTGGAGTGCTGAGTGCTTCTGTGGGTTGGGCGGCTGTTTGACAGGAGACAAGGCGTTTTCTCAGAGCATTTGCAGAGGCCCTGGCGGCACATGGTTGCCCTCACTCAGCAGTTCATCCAGAGTGGTCCTCAAGGCCAGATGTGCTTGGAGCTGCTGCCCCCAGCTTTAGGGGAGCCCATGGGGCTTCAGGGACACGAGGCCAGAGGCTGACCGTTTGCTTTAGGGAGAGGCCAGCAAGATGCCTGCTTTGGGGGAAGAAGAGCCCGGAGCCGTCACAGACTCGGCGCTGGTCTCAGTGGCGTTTCCTGTGTGATTGAGCAGTCATCCCAGCCATTCTCAGAGCAAAGGCAAGAGCCTGGGAATTCTGACCCGGACACGTCTTCCCTGTTGTACGACTGTAATCCTGTGCAGAGTTGAACTCTCCGTGACCAGTGAGGACCAGAACTCTACCTACACAGAGGCAGAGTCCACTTCAGAAAGTCAGTTAAGGTAGAGATCTTTCCTAGCCCATTGGTGGAAGCCCCTTTCTAACCATGGAACAGATGGACATTTTATTAGTACTTCAACAGGTTCCCAAAATGACTGAGACGTGTAGCTAGTGAGTCCCTCCGAGGATGTACAGGATGAGTAAAACCCTGCAGGTTGGCGCTAGTCATATAGAACAAAGGAGGCAGGAGGCCCACTCGGCCCTCAGATCCCTGTAGTCTGGGACACAGAGGTGCAGCTTAGTTGTGACCACAACACAGGAACAACTTGAAGGCATAATGTGTCCTATGCTAGTAGCCAGGCTGCCTTCTCTGCACATGTCAGCAAACTTCTTAGTTATGCAAAGACCCTTAGCAAGGGTTTATGTCTTTTGTAGATCGTGGCCTAGAAAAGACAGAATGTGATGTTTTAGGGCCATTTTGGTGTCTGGGCACAATTCCAATCTTGAACAGAAATAAAATGGGCAAAATTCTACATATTCTTCTCTGCAGGTGACAATGCAGTGGGCCAGAGTTGCTATTAATATAGATTATAAGTAGGCTTCTGAGTAAGGCTCAATCCCTCTTCTGATTTGCCCTCTGATCTTCTTACACATAACATTTAGTGACCTTTGAACAGCCTGGGGATGCTTCACAGTGTCTTTTTCTTGATGCCTGTTTAAAGGTTTCTATTTCATATTCACAGCTGGCATATGCAAATACAGGTAAAGATTATGATGCCTCCGAAGTAGCATTATGGTCAATAAATTACTCCTTGGGTGAACATGCTGTCATTTCAGCCTAGCATGTCTTCAGCAAGTTGCAGAAGTCTTCCTGCAGCAGGCGGGCTGCCAGTGCCTTCCCACAGAGCTGGCGGCCCAGATACTTACAGATTCAAGTGTGATGTTTAACCAGGGTTGTCCTGTTGGTAAAAGAGCTCTCTGTCTTTTGCTGCTGAAGGGCTCCTCTTTTCAGGGGGTGGAGGTTACGGGGGGGATTCTTCGTGTGGACTTTGGGGGCGGGTAGAGCATGAAGAGCCAGGGATGCCAGGATTGCCTGGAGAAACCCTGGACAGCGGGAAAGGAGTTTTAGAGACCTGTCTAAATCCTGACCCTCCAAGTAAATCACCGTGCGACCTCGGATAAGTCACTTGAAGTCTCTGTACTCTCATTTGCTTTCCTTTACAAAACAAGAAAGCTGTATTGGGTCAGCAGTCTTTGTTGTCATTATTTGAGCAATGGAATCTTTCCTCCAACTCAACTCTCAGGTCGAAGCCCAGGGGAGACGTGCTCCAGTTGTGAGGAAACAGGGGACTTAGAGGCCTCATAGCTCAGGAACTTGTAACCGCCCTGGATGCAGTTTGAAGATTGGTGGACCTCGGAGCTGTCATGCCCTTCATGATTCCTGGAGGGGACCTGCCCTGTGCCTTAGCCCCCAATCCCTGGGTGGTTTACCCACTAGAGGGCAGCCCCATGAACCCAGGCACCGCATGCTTTTTGTCATATCACCCTGGGCTCAGCATTGGAAAATAGTCTGGTGCGTGCTGGTGGATTGGAACAACTAATAAACAAATAAACAAACACACAAGTTCAGGATGACCTGCCTCTGTATTACTAATAAATGAAGATTTTTTTTTAATGGTAACATTTTTACCTAGAAGGCACTACCTAAGCATTAACGTTCGGAACTATGAATGAGTTCAAAATGTAAATGACTCCGAAACTTTGTCCTTTATAACCTGATCTTGGGCTGCCCCTACCAGCCAGAGCAGTGGCTTTGAAATGTGGCTTTGAAATGGGGCAGGTCCAGATTGAGACGTACTCCATCAAACACCCCAATTTCGAGGACTTTGTATGAAAATAAAGGAACGTAGAGTATCTCATTAATCACTTTTTGTATTGATTCCATGCTGGAATGGCAATATATGGCATTAAAGAAAATAGGTTATTAAAATTTTTTTTCACCTGTTATCTCTTTATTTATGTGATTTACTAGAAAAATCTGAATTTATGTGCAGGCTTACAGTTGTAGCTCAAATATTTCTATCAATGGCACTGCCCTCGACAGTTGATTACTAGATCACCAGTAATTACTCTTCCATATTATATATTAGTGATTTTGTGTGTATGTTTGTCTCTTCCCAGGCACAGAAGCTGAAATCCAATATGTCGGGCAGTACACACCTCTGTCTTTCTGATGTAAGTTGTTTCTTTCTGAGTCTCGCTGCATTTATAGAAATAGCCTTTGGGCCCCAGGGACAGGATATGATGTGAGGGGCTCAAAGACAGCAAGATTTCAGGTCCAGAAAAAAATCTGAGTCACCTTTGATGTCCCTGTGACCTTTGAGCAAGGTGTAGTCTTCAGATCTTTAGTGCACAAAGGGAGAACCAAGTTTGGGTCCTGGGATCCTCATCTCAGAACTGGACCAGCACAGACACCATTGTCTCAGTGCCACAAGAATCTCTGTGATCACAGTCACATAAATTCATCCAACACAGAGAAGGTACGGAACAACGCTTGCTGCTTACGCGATGTCCTCCATCTACTGCTCCTTTGACCTCCACAGCAACCGGAAGTAGCTAAAGCTGGCCGAGTCACCCTTCCCGATTTACGAGTGAGAGGGTGGATGATTGTGTCACAGCCCTAGCTCACTGTGGCAGGATGTGGCCTTATGGAATTGAGCGGGTGCTGGGGATGGGGATGAAGGAATTGATCTGGGAGAGGGACCACTGTGCTGACTGGGAGTCCAGGAGCCTGGGTTCTGGGTGGGACCCTGTGACTGACAAGCAGGGCGAGGGCCTTCATCTGTAAAGTCTAGAGTTGAGCCAGCCGATGGCGGGAAAGGCCACTGCCTGCTCTGCCAGTCTCCAGTGCGATTCGTGACCCAACTCTACATACCATGAAAGCGTACAAGCCTGGGCGTTTTCTGAGATGATTCTTCCTGCTCCCCCTAAATGATGCGGACACATGGCGAGCGTTCCTCCTCAGGCACTGGTTCCCGGAAGGAGACTGGTTCCATTTGCACACCTACTGGGGGACCTTGGGTATGGGAGTGAAGAATGCTGGGGATACCTGGGCTCAAATCTCTTCCCCCAAGTGGGTTTTAATTCTCCCTAATAGAGAAACAAGAAGCAGGCATTGGCCACACAGTTCATCTAAAGTATCCTGGTTGTGTCACCCAGATTCATGATCCCTTCTTGTAAAAACTACAAGCCAGCAGGTTGAAGTCTCAGGGTAAAATCTTGGGTCAGCTTTGGTGAGTGATCTAGCTTGTTGGGGGTGGGGGTAGGAGAAAGAGTGTGGTTAAAATTATGCCATGATGGAGCAAACACATGCAAGGGATGCTAATGAAAACATTCTTTCTTACAGCGTGATTACGAAAAGGATGGTCTCGCTGGTGCTTCCAGCCACATAACCACAAAATCAATGGCTGCTCCTCCACGCTGCGGTCTGAGCCCACTGCTGGCCCTGGTGGTAACTGCCCTGTCCACCCTATTATCTTTATCTTTGGCAGAAACATTGTAGCTGCATTTAAAAAAAAAATACGGACATGTGAAAAAGACAAACACCAAGTTATCTGTTTCCTGTCCTCTTGTATATCTGAAATTCCAGTTTTAGGAGCTCAGTTGAGACACTGCTAAAACAGTTTCATCCAACTGGAACTTGTTTCTTTCTTTTTCTTTCTGTCTCTCTCTCTTTTTTTTTTTTTTAAGAAAGCTTCTTGTGATCCTTAGGGCTTATATGGGATCCCCGATGCAGAGCAACATTCCAGACTCAAAAGGCTTTGGGGCATGCTGTATTATAAAGGGGCAGTTTGTTAATTTGGCTGTAAAGCCAGCTGGGGCCAGGTTTTTCAAGAGGATGATGAGGATGAGGGTTTTAACAACTGAACTCTGGCCTTTGCTAGCTAGAGAAGGAGTTTCTAAAGAATCCTCCATAGCTCATGTAGTAACTTTGATTTCTGATGACACAACTGCAGCTGTCGGTACATGGATGCCAAGCCTTTTTTGGTCACAAAGCAAAGATTCTCATCCAATCTTGATGGACTTTTGTGCAAACAAGCTTGTACCAATGTTCACCTTTCTATCTGTACGAGCATTTTCCGCGCTAACGTTTATGTACTGTAAACAGTTCTGCACTCTCCTCCAAAACCAAAAACACCTGTCACATCCAAATGTAGTGTGTCTTCTAGTCAAATCAGAGAGTGAGAGTGGGCGCGAGACTTCACGGAACCTTGATCACTGAGACATTCTCCTGAGCCTTACTGAGAGAGAAGCCCTCAAACTAATAAGAGTCAAATATAGCCGAAGCATCGCTCTAATATTCTTTACACGTATGAGGTTATATGTAGAAAAAAAATTTTACTACTAAATGATTTCAACTATTGGCTTTCTATATTTTGAAAGTAATGATATTGTCTTCATTTTTTTACTGGTGGTTTAATACCAAACACATGGAGCTTGTTTTCCTCTCGTAAGAAGTGTTCGCTCCGAAATTAACTTCACGAATACAGCTCTTCAAAAGCAGACTCTGAGGAGCCTCATGCTTCAGCAGGAAGCTCTGCATCACATTACTGCGGACAGGCAGGAGGAAACGGAGCAGCCAGGCCTTGTCTTTTATCGTTTCTTGAAAGGCAAGTGTGCATACCCGTGAGGAAGCCAGTGGCCACTTGTAAATTTCTGCACCGTCTAATGGCACCCTTGCCAGTTGACACAAGCCAGTACCTTGGTTTTCATGTTACCTGACAAAGGCGGCTGTGACTGGGATGGGAGAACAGGGCGTCCTGCCATCCCTTCTGAAACAGATCCATGCCATGGTACATAGTTCTCTTCCTAAGGATTGTCTTGACTCCCAGCATTGATGGCTTGGCTGCTGTGTAGAGCAGTTTGGTCTGAAGGTCACTGGGACTCTGCTTGCACTGTGTTCTGTGTCCTCCATGATGGACTGTGACTGACTCTGCAAAAAAAGGAGGAAGGTTTGTGGATCAAGAGAGTCACCATTAGGTCTGTGGAGATGAGTCAGTTGGCACAGATACACCGAACAGAGCAGGACTTTGGATATAAGGCATCCAGCTTGTTAACTGCACGTCATCTTCCATCGCATCTTCCTTAAATGAATGGACCCAGGAGGGCACTTTTGAAGTGGAGGTCTGGTTGAAATGGTGAGATTCGAAGTCTACAAGGATCAAGTCCTAGTAGTAGCCATGTTTCTCTCAAACTGAACAGAGACGAGGAGATTCCCACCTTAACAGAGTGCTCAAAGCATTAGCTTCTTCCCACATCAGTAGAGGGGATGGAGGAGGAAACCCAGTGTTCACATCTCATCCCAATTCCCTTTACCCACGGATGTTTGCCTTGTAAGAATTAATCCAATTGCTAGGGTGGGAAGTCTATTAAATTTAAGATGAAGGCATAGTCTTTTAGCTCTATTGGTGTTTAAAGTACATTTATATCCAAATGTTAATAAACATAAATGTATAATACTAAGTACTGAGTTTTTTCACTTCAAAATGTTTTCAAGGGAAATTCATCAAACAGATTTGATGAGCAAAAGGTTTCGTAAAGACTCTTACTTTGAATAAACACACTGAATGTGTCAAAATACTTGGAATTCCAATCATCCCTGAGAGCGTATCTCCGTACAGAGTATATTTTGTTTTAATTAAGGTATCTCTGTGTATCTACATTGGACTAATTGCATATAGGTCTGATTCTATGTAATCTACTGTAGAAAGCTATTGATTACTTCTGCAATAAACAGCAGCTCTAATTAGTTTCAGATGACCAAAGAGGAAATGGGAATTATCCGAGCTAACAAGGGTAGCCTTCGGTGAAGACCGCATGGATGTGCAACACATAAATTAAATTTTGAAAAGCCTCATCGTTCACCAACAACGATCTCATTTTTCTTCAGGGATAGAAGCATCTTAGACCAGATCGTCAGTTGGAAAATAAATTACTGATTAAATAAATGGGGGAGGGATGTTCAGTGACAGCTCATTAGGGAGATCCTTATAAAATTATGCCAAGCAAATGTTTCTGCCATTCGGGGGTGATCTCAGTTTGGCGCGGTGGCCCAGAAACACCGCCATTCATCCCAGTACTGAAGCAGGCAGGTGACTTCAGTCTTTTGCCTATTTGCCTTCCTCTTGCAGTGCTAAAAGCAAAAATGGTTCACTGCTTCCTGTCCTTCAGACCCTGCATCGAGAGTGACACCAAAACACCACGGCTGCCTGCTGAGATTTGGTTATAGTTGGTTTTGCCAGAACAAAAACAGGAACTTATGTCCATGGAGCCCATGGCTCCCAGATCAGGAATAGCTATGCCCGACTCATTTCGGAGGGAAAAAAAAATGGCAAGATTGTCAAACTGATTAGAAGCACATTCAGCCCACCTTGATGTTGACTGTCTTTGAGCGAGAGGTGTCTGAGTGTCTTTTTAACAGAGCACATGAAGGAAGAAGAGCACAATAAAGAGAGGGAATTCAGAACGCCATCTGAATATTTATTTTTCCACATTTGGGTTTTTCTCAAGCCTCTAGTAGAAAAAGCATAAGTTGTTAGTTACATAGGTTATTTTTCATGAAGGGCAGCCAACTGTATCCAAAGTGTGCTAGTAAGAGTGTGGTTTCCATTAAAAGAATTTTTTAAACAATTCGTTACCCTGCAGTAAAAAATGTTTTTAGAAGCTGTGTCTTCAAGCTCATCAGATCATCAAATGTAGGCCAGGGCTGTTCCAGGGCTGCTGTGGCCTTTGATCTGGTCCGTATGAAGAACGCTCCTATCTTGCACATGCTCCGAGGATGGGCCGCCTCCAGCCGCATCCCCATTTCCCGCCTGCTCTTTGTACTCTAGATCAGACACTCCCAAACACTCCATCTGCTGAGCTACGTGAGTGGGAGAGCGGAAGCATTTGTGAATCAGTGCTAAGTGCTGGGAGAAAAGAGATGTAAGAGCAGCGCGAGTTTATATAATTAGCAAATTCTTTTCTTAGAATCCAGCAAAAATGCTTTTCTGTTGTTATTATTTACCAAATTGTGGCCTCGGAGGAGCTGTCTTGGGGAAAATAAGTTTTCATTCATGGAGTCAGACATGCACCACTTATTCAAGTCAATAAACTGGGGGCCAGAAAATGACCGCTTAAATGAATGCACATTTTGTCATTCTCTTTCACTGCTGTTCTTGCCCTCTTGGATTCGTACCCCTGTGATCTGTGTTGCTCCTGCTCTTTGCTAGAACAAATGAAACCGAGTGAGACCCACTGTCTCAAGAAAGGCCAGAAAGCAATGACAAGGGGCAAGAGTGAATTACCAATGGCCCGAGCACAGTGTTGGCCAAACGGCCCATCTGCATGGAGCTTGAGGGGTTTGGAGAGTGGAAACAAAGTCAAGGTGCCACAGGAGGCTGCACACTAGAGGGGAGTGGATCATGTGGTCTGATCCAAATAGGCATCTTGTCCCAACAGAACAGCCAGAGTTCCTTGAAGTATCAGTGCCTTTGCAGGAAGCAAGCCAGAGGTAGTAGCTGGATGACAGAGGAAGGAATTTTTTTTTTTTAAGAAATTCTAAAACAACAGAATAGTTGGGAATTGGGTTAGATACCCTTAGAAGCTATGTTTTTCTCTCATCCCTAAGATAAGCATCTCATGTGTAGATCTGATACCTCTTGACTTTGATCAAGAGGATTATTCTTCGGAAATCCATTCACACTGCAGAGGCCTGAAATCTGTGGGCTTTGCCGCTGCCTCCATCCTGGGATGTATTCAGTGGGACACGTCATTTCCCAAGGATAATTATCTTAAGATATTGGCTGATTCCATTCTCTGTCATACTGATTATTGATAACCCCAGTTCCCACCCTCGTTACTTATTGCCCAAGAATTCACAGTCTCTTCCCATCAATCCTTCATCCCAATCATTCTAAATTTAGTCCTACTCAAATTAATTCTCATTCTATCGGATGCCTGTTTGACACGTAACCCTGGCTTTTTGAAGACAGAGAAGTCTCTCCGAGGAGCCAGGCGATCTGAAGATGATGCTAATCCCGGAGTAGAAAGTTCATCCATCCAGCCCTCCCCTGAGCTCCCTCTTCTTAGCCCTGGGATTGTCTCGTTGCTGCATCTTCGCCAAGCATCCCTTTGTTGTTCCAGGGCTCTCCGACGGGCTCTTCCTCCCTTCCGGAGACAGCACGGGTTGCTCAATGGGATGTACCACCTGCACTTCTGATTGTTCTGAGATCCAGCCCAGAGGGGTGGGGAAGGCATGCAAGGCTTGTTTCAATAAACTGCCTGCAGAGAACCACAGCCTGCTAACAGTCACCGCGGCCCCAGCCCCCCAGGGTCCCCAGGCTCATTTGACCAGCGCAGCTGCGACTTCGGCTGTCTGCCTCTGGCAGGTGCCAATATCAGCTTCTTGTCCCACTGCCATGGGGAGTTTATTTTTGCTCAAGGGCAGCTGCCAAACCCAGTACCAGCATCAATAGAAGGTTTTCTCTGATTTTTCTTCTTTTCATCCCTGGCTGGGCTTTCTTAGCAATCCCCTGTTTTCATTTTGCCCAGAAGTACCATAAGACTGGCCGGAGACCATCGGGCCCTTCCTTTTTTTTTTTTTTTAACTTTTTTTTCTTTTTGTGGGGGGCAGGTAATGAGATCTATTTATTTTTTAGTGGCAGTACTGGGGGTTGAACCCAGGACCTCGTGCACGCTAGGAATGCCCTCTACCATTGAACTGTACTCTCCCCTTCTTCCTTCTTTTTTTAACATCTCTTCCCACTCACCCTGGCAGCTTCCCTAGCAGAAAGCACGACCCCTAGTGGGAACTTAAACAGTGCTGGATGAATGAAAAACTTCAGGGCATTGAAGGGTTTCATTCTGTAATATAGTAGCAAGAACTGGTCCATTTGCATCGCCTTGCAGCACTGAGCTGTTAGTTACATATGATGCCGAAGGTATCCTCCTGAGGTTATTGAAGGTGACCTGGAAGAAAGAGTCAAAGAGAACGGTAGACTCAAAGCAGCTTTAGATCTGTCTGCTGTGTTCTCTGCTGAAAGATGAAAAACTAGCATTTGTCCCTAGAAGAACAGAGCATGACCAGCCAGTCCCATGAGGCTCACCATACTCACCAGAAAGGACAGGATCCTGGGAGATTAGCCAGTGAGTCTGCTGATAGTCTAATCTGCCTCGAGTGTAGGATGCTGGCAAGAAAGATGGACCACTCCACCCGACCCTGAGCAACCCCAGGGATACAGGCTCTGCCAGCATCCTGAGGAGCAAACTCAGGTGCTTAACAATGCAGCACATTTACAGAACATCTACTGTACCTGAGTGAAGTGTCATTTGGAGCCGAAGCAGCTGACGGCAGCTTAGAGGAGCAGCCATCTTTTCCGAATTGGTAGAACCCTTCACTTTGATATCCTTGGGAGAATCTAAATTCTCTTTATAAATAGTCCGTGATGCTGTTTTTCAGACTCAGTCTCTGAGAGGTAAATCCCAGTCCACATGCAGATAACCCAGCCAGCCCACCCATTATGAAGCTGGCCGATATACCCACCTTCAGCCTGAAAGGCCTCCAGAGAACCCAGTGGGGTCACCCCTCTGAGCATCGGAGGGCCGTGAGCAAGGCCAGGTACTCATGCCCGTGGACAGTCTCAGCCATCCGCTACCAGCCATGGGGCTGGTGGGAGCAGAAGACCCCAGAGCTGTCTGCCAAACGTAGCACAGAGCTTACAGCTGAAGTAAAGTAGGAAGAGGAACTGGAACCCCCAGTGGCGGCCCCGGGCATAGGAGACTCAGGGCTGTTAGAAGTCGGTGGAAGTCTGTCACCTGTCACAGGGCCCGCAGGGCATCTGCGCAGGTCCAGGTCAGGGTGCTCTGGGTCTTCCTGGCAGTGGCACTGACCCTCTTTCTGTGCCACACGGGCTGCAGGGCTGTCTGATCCAGTGTTATCTTCCTGGCATGCAAAGCGTGCTTCATCTGGAATTTGGTATTTTATTTTTTAGCTTTAGCTGAAGGCAGTTCTGAAATGTAGGGGGGGAAAGAGCATGGAAACTGTAGAACCAGATCGCAGATCGCCCTGCCTTATTTGGCTGTGGTCTTAGAGTAATCAGACATTTCTGACGTGCTTTTGTGGATTCAGAAAGAGCTGACTGTCCTGAGAGGGTTGAAGAAATGGTTTCAGAAGCCTGAGATCCAGGGCCTTCCCGTTCCCCTCATTATCTGTCTTTTCTCTTTTTCTCCCTTCTCTCCCCCAAGGGAGGTAGAGAAACACTTTTTACCAGAGTTTGCTTTAAAGAGTTTTCTCATCCTCTCGCATTTTCCCTTGATATTGAAATTATTTTCTCTTGTTTAATCCAGCTCCCGCTGCGAAGCCATGAGAAAGAGAGGATGTAGGATTGTTTTGTTGTATTTTTTGGATGGCGCTGCATTTTTTACTCCTAACCCGAGGGTACGTCTCGGTTTATGTTCGTTCTATTTCATGCAAGTTAACAATACAAGTAGAAGAGATAAGGATGCTGGTTTGGGGGGTTAGTTTTAGAATTCTGTCCTGGGAGAGGGGTTATGACCCCAAACCTCTTCAGAGCCAGGGTGAGGGGTAGAGTGAG